TTCGCAGCTGTGCGTTTCTCAGTCCGATTTGTTTCTGGGTTGGGGATCCTACATCAATGTGTTCGCCGATGGGGTGCGCAATGCGGTTTCACATTCCGGAGGCCTTGTAGGCCACAAGCAACCTTCGACCCTTCAGGCGCAAGGCGGCCGCTACGCGTGAAAACATTGATGGCTTCGTCTCGGTAACATGTCGTTGACCTTCCGCAGCATGATTGCGTTCTTGTTTGTGGTCAAACTCGGAATCCGTTTGTCGCGCTATTCGGGTGTGAGTGCGCTTAGGGGGTGCTTGCTGGAAGTGGTTGCGTCGTGGCGTAAATTACAATATGTTTTGTATGCTTATGCTGGAACCATGCAGGTGTAGTGTGAGTTCCCATATTCAAGCGATTGGAGTGATGTTGCAGAGCTTCGTGCAAATCAAACCGGGGGTGGTGGGTTGGGGAGGGTTTGTGGGAAGGATGCGGCCGACCCGTTTCCTCCAGCGTTTCGGCTCGTCGCGGGGGTGGCAATCGTCACGGGACGGGGCTGGGCACATGGGCCGCCAATTTTCATAAGAGTTTGGTCAGGAAGTCTTGGGCGCCCCTCGTGCGGCCGCTGTGGAACGCCCGCCCTGGCGTGGGGAGTCGACGCGTTGTGCGATGCTAGCGCCTTAGACCTGGTCACAATGCGGGGGACTTGCCGCGAATGAGCTGCTCCAGCGGATGTGGAAGGCTGCCGAACACAATGGCCGACCAGGGCGGTGTCACCGCAACAACCCAAGTACCCGACACGTCTCGCGGCGGAGTCGGGGGTAGACGGGTGCAAGCAAGTAGCGCCCGTGCCGTTGGGGAGTTATTGGGAGGCAAGGGCGGTACATAAACGGTTGGAGGAGACAGTCCCGCGTGTTTGGGGGCAGTTCAGAGAAAGCTTGGACAAACAGACGCGGAGACCAAAGGAAGCTTGCAGGTGTAGATGGGGACCATCGGAGGCTCCCCCGCCGCAAACGAGGACGGAACGCCCTCGCCCACGGGACACTGAGTCCGCTGATCCTACCGGTCAAAAGATCATGGCGCCAACATCGCAGAGCGGATTGTGTTCGGAAAACTATAGGATGTGCCCAGAGTGTCTTGGAGAATTTCGTTCCGGATTTCGAAGTGAATTTCGTGCGGATTTTTTGGTGAGGAATGAAGGCTGAACAAGAATCAACGTGAAATTCACTTCGTTTTTCGATCGCCGTTTCGGGGCTTTACATGGGCAGAAATCCGCGCAAAAATCCGCTGCAGCACGTCTGCAAGGTCGGTGCAATGAAACGGGCCGACCAGTCCGCAACCTACTACCCTCGTCAAAATTAACTTCAAAAATGGCGCACACGCCCCTGCGATGTCGGCGCGCCCTTCAACGTCGATAGACGCCCCTCCAATGTCGCGGCCAGGGCAGAGGTGGTCTGACCGGGAACGACTCGGAAGTCCGATGATGACCGACATTGGAGGGGCGGCGCACACAAGCACCTCGCAGCCACCGCTCCTCTGCCCAGTATCTCCCCACAGACAGTTCAGCCACGCAGGACATTTTTGAGGTTCATTTTGACGAGGGTTGTAGCATCCCATCTTTTTTGGTACACTGGTCGCTTTTTTCTGCCCGGTGCTCGGGCCCCTGGGACCTCCACATATCGATCTGGCTCGAATAAAATGGGCAGAAAGATGGGGTCTACATAGAGCTCTGGTCGTGATCCTTCGGTAGTAGGGGAAGGCACAACGACATAAGCATCAAACCTTGGAGGTCCGCGCGGATTCCTCAGGTCGGCGCCGGAGGGGCCCGCGGGCGGCGCCTCCGGCGCCGCCCCTGGCGCGCTCTGCGCACCAGGGAGGGGAGTCCAGAGCCGATCCGAGGAATTCGCGCGGACCTTCGAGATTTCCCCTTGGGTTGAGTCGGGCCTGCCCCTCTACAGGACGAATAGTCAAACATAGTCAAAACATAGTCCGGGGACTCTTTTTTGACTATTCTGGGGCATTTGGTTGCGTAATATTGGTTGTTCGCCCAACAGCTCCGACCCCGAAGCAGAGGGCGAGGCCGAACACCGCCGGCCGAGCGCGCACCGGCGGGACGGGCCGCGCCGCACGAGGCGGGCACCCCCTGCGGACGCCATCGCTCGACGGCCCCATGGGCAGGCCCGCGGGCAGCACCCGGAGAGGGCCGGGGCGCTGCCGTGGCGGGCAAGCGGCCCCAGAGCTTCGCCCACACGGCAGTCGGGCCTGTGCTTCCCCAGACCTCCTCGCGCTGTGAAAGGAATCACGACAGGAGGTGTCTCGCTATGTTCGGCCTCCGGGGGCCCTTGCCGGCCCAGACCTCGTGGGGTCGACGTTGTGAAAAAATTGCGACGTCGGGGGTCTGGGTCTGCAGGAGGAACATTCGAAAATAGTAACAAAAATAGTCTGGGGACGATTTTTCTACCATGTTTGACTATTCTTGAGCTTTTTGGGGATTTTTTTCCCCAGTCAGAGCTTGCCTCTGTAGGGGTCCTAGCGGATTCATATGGTTAGGTGAGGTGCGTCGCCGATTTCGGTGGCCGGCCCGGTTGCCCCGGTGCTTGGGTGCCCAGGGTTGCCCGGGGGTGCCCGAAGGTGCTCTGGGGTGCCCGGAGGCGCCCGGGGGTGCCCGAAGGTGCTCTGGGGTGCCTGGGGTTGCCCGGGTGCCCGGGGGTGCCAGGGGGTTGCCCACAGGTGCCCGAAGGTGCCCGGGGGTGCCCGGGTGCCCAGGTGCATTATCGCCCTAAAGCCCTATAGCCCATATGGCCCTATATCCCTATAGCCCTATAGCCCTATAGTTCTATAGCCCTATAGCTCTATAGCCCTACAGCCCTACAGCCCTATAGCCCTATGGCCTTCATAGCCCTCGCAGACTTCATAAACCTAAGGAGCAATTACAAAGGAATATCATGTAATGTAAAAAAAGACTCTCATTGGAGCTTTTCTCCAGTATCATCTTATTTTTCGTCCAAAATCCGCCTGTAGGAGGACATGCCCGACCTAAGACTACATGTAAGAGTGACCTTTCGCCGGAGTGACCTCTGGTGCGGGCCCAGTGGGGTCCCCCGCTTGCTGAGCGCGAAGTGGTGGCAGAGGCTTGCGCGCCCAGGTCCGGCCACCCCGCGTCCCCTGTTGAGTCGCGCATCAATGTTCACTCTTGCCTAGGGTCAGTCTTACGTGTAGCCGAGAGCTGGAGAGAGTCCTATCGATGCGGCGTGCACAGGCTGCAGGTCGAGAACACCCTGGTAGCCACCCACGCACTCGTGCTGTCCCAGCAGCTGGGGCTGGAGCGGAGCAGCAGCCTCAGAGCCAACCAGGTGCGAAGTAGGAGGCTATCGAGAGATCGATGCTCGCACGGTGCATGCAGACTCGTGCGCTGACTGGCCTGCGGTGGGCGTTATTTGCCCATATTCGAATTTTGCTGAACACGACCTTGGGGCGTGGGGCGCGCGCACCTTGATGGCCGCAGAGCATGGGCGCCGCTCGACGGGGTTGTTCGTTCACCACTCATACCAAAGCTAACGAACGCCGCCGCCAAATCCAAGCGGCACCGAAAACGTCAAGCAAGCCGCCCTGTTTGTCACACCTGTCCCGTCCGAAGAACCCACGCCTCAATATTGCGGTATGGGCGGCGCGCTGTCGGGCACTGGACGAAGTTGCTGTTACGAAGGGCTTGGTAGCCGCCACGATTTCGCAAGTGCGCAGCGAGGCGATGTGCCAGATTCGTTGGGCGCTCGCTGGGCCGAACCGATCGCTGGCTCGCCAGTGGTGGCGTGGGCCGGCCAGCCCGCGAACCACCAGCGGGGACACGCTCTCGCTGGTGATCCTGCCATAGTGTTGGAGGCTTGGGCCTGCTGGACGAGAGGGTGGTCTTAGCATGGGCGACGGACGTCGACCATCTTGCCTCGAGCGCTGACGTGCTTGGCGCCGACTCCTTCAGGCTGGCGTGAGCGCGGGCGCGGCTCCCCCAGGGGCCCAACGTGCCAGCTCACGCGGACCCCCCCCAGGCCGGCTCCCGGTCGGCTCCCGGTCCCCCTTCATCTGTCGAAAGTTGGGCGAGGGCTGCTAAAACCGTGGCTGCTAAAACGGCCTTCCCGGAAGGAAAAATCAACTTCCCAGAATGAGGCGCGGCACGCGAAACAGTCAACGGGTTTCTTCCCGGAAGGACGGAGACAACTTCCCGGAGGTCGATTTTAGCAGCCACGGATTTAGCAGCCTTCGCCCGGCTTCCGAATCCGGCTCCTTGCCTCCAGTCCCCCTACTCGCCGTCGCCAGTCCAGTTGATGGACAAGATCCTGCACCACCCGCGCAACCGGGGCGACGGCACAAACTTCCACGCGCCCCTCTGCCCCCGAATCAATGCTGGTTGGCTGCGCCCGCGGGGTGCATGATTCAGGCCAGTCGGCAGACCGACAGATCGCGCCACAGCCTGCCAACATCAAACTGGGGGCTCGGGGGGCGAGAACAGAAAAGTCGAAAACGAAGGTGCAGGAGTTTGTCCATCAACCGTCCCGCCCCCCGCTCCTCTCCTCTAGGCCTCCTAGATGGGGTCGGGGTAGATGAGGTCGGAGGATCGCGCCGCATCGGCGATGCATCGGCGATGCATCGGCGATGCATCGGCGATGCGGCTTGATGTGGGGCCCAATTTTCTCCACGCCGACGTCGCCGATGCACCGCCGACGTCGCCAGTGCATTGCCGATGCATCGTCGGCGATTTATCGGCGATGCGGCGAGATCCTCCGACTCCATCTACAGTCAACCCGCATAGTAGGGATGGGCAGCTTTCTCAAGAGTACCCTTGCATCCATGCCTCCTCGGTCCATCCTTGGCCACTTTCGCTGGCCGCGCCCCGCTCGAAAAGCTCCGAAATGGGCGTCCGAGGCCCCTGCGTCCTCATCGCGCATCCTGACTATACTGGTCGACTGCACTCGGACCCCATCGGGGAGGCCTCCCTCCCCCCCTCCCCCGCCTGCCCCTGCGGTCGCGCCTCCTTCCCCCAGCCTGGCCCGATCATGCGGGCGGGCCTCTGGCGCCCGCCTTCGGGCCGCGCGGCCTGCGCGGGCGCCCCGCCCGCGGGCGGGAGCCATGGAGCCTCCCCGCCCAGACGGGGACTCGAAGTGCGCTTCCGGGGGGGGGGGGGCGAGAGTGACGGGGGCACAGCGTCAAGCCGGGCCTGTCCCTCTGCAGGAGGAATATTCAAGCGTGGTCCAAGAATCGTCCGGGGACGATTTTTGGAGCATCTTTTCTGGCTATGTTTGAGTATTTCGGGGGGTCTTTTTACCTAACAGCGAAGACTGATAGGTTTCTAGTTGACTCAAAAGAGCTCACAGATCACTCCACAGGGGGGTCCGGGCAGGTGTTGGGGAGTTGCCGGGCGGCAGGGTGCCGGGCTCGTTTTTCACCAACAGTCACACACTTCGTGCTCTTCGACTTCCCAGAACTCCATTCCCAGGCCACATTCTGAATACCCGGATGCAACAGTCACACACTTCGTGCTCTTCGAGATCCCAGAACGCCATTCCCGGGCCACATTTAGAATAACCGGATGCAACAGTCACACACTTCGTGCTCTTCGACATCCCAGAACGCCATTCCCGGGCTACATTTTGGATGCCCGGATGCAACAGTCACACACTTCGTGCTCTTCGAGTTCCCAGAACTCCATTCCCGGGCCACATTTGGATGCCCGGAGCCAACTGTAGGCCACTTCCTGGTCTTCGAGTTCCCAGAACTCCATTCCCGGGCCACATTTTGAATAGCCAGACGCTTCAGGAATTGCTAGTGACACTGCAGTCCACTGCATTCAATCGTGCCACTGCATTCACTCACTGCAGGAGGAGGAGGAGGAGGAGGAGGAGGAGGAGGAGGAGGAGTATGCTGAAGAGGAGTAGGAGGTGGGATGAGGACGAGGAGGAGGATGAGGAGGAGGAGGAGGAGGAGGAGGAGGAGGAGGAGCAGGAGGAGAGGTGGGGGGAGAGCACCAGGAGGAGGAGATAGAGGACACGCAGGATGGAGGTAGGAGGTGAGTCGGTATCGGAGGAGTATTAGGAGTCGAGAACACCAAGAGTAGGAGACGAGCAGACGTGAGAAGACGAGAACGAGGGTCGACCAGGAAAGGAGTAGAGGAGGAGAGGAGGAGGGGAGGTGATGACTACCAGGAGTAGGAGATGAGGACGGAGGAGGAGAGGAGGAGGAGGGAGGAGGAAGAGAGGAGGAGGACGAGGAGGAGGAGGAGGAGGACAGGGAAGGAAGGAGGGGGGGGGGGAGAGCACCAGGAGGAGGAGAACGAGGACCACCAGGAGGAGGGGGAGGAGGAGGAGGAGGAGGAGGAGGAGGGAAGGAGGAGGAGGACGAGCAAGACGAGGCGACGAAACGAGGACGAGCAAGAGGAAGAGGAGGAGGAGGAGGAGGAGGAGGAGGAAGGAGCAGGAGAAAGAGGAGGAGGAGGAGGAGGGGAGGAGGAGGAGGAGGAGGAGGAGGAGGAGGAGGAGGAGGAGGAGGAGGAGGAGAGAACACCACGAGGAGGAGGACGAGCAAGACGAGGAGGACGAGAACGAGGGCGACCAGGAAGAGGAGGAGGAGGAGGAGGAGGGGAGGGGGAGGACTACCAGGAGGAGGAGGAGGAGGAGGAGGAGGAGGAAGAAGAGGAGGAGGAGGAGGAGGAGGAGGAGGAGGACGAGGAGGAGGAGGGGGGGGAGGAGGAGGAGGAGGAGGAGGACGAGGAGGAGGAGGAGGAGGAGGACGAGGAGGAGGAGGGGGGGGGGAGAGCACCAGGAGGAGGAGAACGAGGACCACCAGGAGGAGGAGGAGGAGGAGGAGGAGGAGGAGGAGGAGGAGGAGGAGGACGAGCAAGACGAGGACGACGAGAACGAGGACGAGCAAGAGGAAGAGGAGGAGGAGGAGGAGGAGGAGGAGGAGAAGAGGAGGAGCAGGAGAAAGAGGAGGAGGAGGAGGAGGAGGAGGAGGAGGAGGAGGAGGAGGACGAGCAGGAGGGGAGGGCGGCCGGCTGCCCCGGCCGGCTGCCCCTGCCGGCTGCCCCGACCGGCCGCGCTTGCGCCCGGTCGCGGAGCGCGGTCAAGGGAAGGGGGCGGGGGCCGGCGGTCAAGGTTGATACCCCCTCCTCGCTCGTTCCACTGCCTGCTCGCAGCAGTGGCACCAACACATGCACAAGAGATTCCTGCATGAACTGTTGTACTTGCATATATGATGGCCTTCGGCCAAAGTCGTGCGCACAAGGGCTCTGCGGAAGGCTCCCTAAGCTCGAGACGCTTTGAATGCTCTGTAGTTTCCTCGTAGCCTCCTTTCCATGCCTTTGTAGCTTCCACGCACTCCTGCGTCGCCGAGTTTCTTCTTGCAGCGTCCTTGTCGTGTCGCGGGGTGCGTTTGCGTCACTTCGGTGTTGCTGCGCCTTGAGACGTGTCTCTGCTGCTTCTTCGTCTCATCGGGGACTCCAGCGTCACCGAATTTGTTCCCGTATTGTGCTTGTCGTTCCAGGTCGTGCGTACGCGCGCAGAATGTTTCTCTGCAGCGTCCTCGTCGCATCAGGATCTCCAGCGTCGCAGAATGCATCCTTGTAGCGCCTCTTCTTCCAGGGCGGCGTGGTCCTGAGTCGCCGCGGACGACTCGCCGCGGACGGTTCCATTCGATTCCACGGGCGATCGTGCGCATGTAGTTTGCCACGCGCCTGCGCGCGCGGAGAGGGCCTGGGCGCCCTGTCGCCTGCGGGCGACCGCGCGGGTTAGTCCCCGCAAAAGCCAAAAAGGCATTTCCACACGCCGGGTAAAGCCTAAAAGGGCTTTCGTCTGCCTGATCCTTGCCCCCCGCTTTCCTTCTCTTCTTTCATCGAAGTCAGAACCCCCGCCCCCTATGACGTCCTCCGCTGGCCTGGGTGGTCTACTCAGGTCGCGGAGGGGGATAGGGGGGGGGTCGTTGCCACGGCTGGTGCCTCGTTTTCACGACGGGGAGGGGGGGGTGCACCGTTCCCTCGGATGGGCACATCCCCCCCTCCAAGGGCCTCCGAGCCCTCCCTCTCCGTCCTTTTCTTCTCCCTTATCCTTCCCTCCCTCGCGGTTTTCGAAGCCTTTGGCGTCTCCGCCCACCAGAGCGGGGATCTCGACCCCCCAATGGGATTCGTGGAGCGGGGGGGGCCTTGAGAGGCCGAAGCATTTTTTGGGGCGGGGCCACACAGCACACACATCACATCCATCGAGTCACGCACACATACAGCAACACGCTTTCTCGACTCCACAGGGGGGGTGCTTCGTGGAGGCATCACTTGTAACTTTGAAATTCTGTAATCATTGCCGTTCTGGTTCAAAGAACTTGGATTGCAGGAGTTCGAGGCAAAAGCGAGCCTTGTCCGCATCCGCTCACCCAGTCTCACCGTGCCGTGCACGGTGCTTCTCAGCCTGTGTCACTGTGCGCTCCACGGTGATCCTCCGGGTGAGCTACCATGGCTGCTGCTGCAGAACAGCCGACGTCTCCACTGGGTTTTCTCACGAAGAGCAGCGCCAAAACCCAAGACTTCCTTGTCCGAGTATACAAGCCCAGGGAGATCAAGTACTCGTACAAGAGCAGGAACAATGGCCAGCTAGTCCATGCAAACCGATTCACATGCATTCTGCTTGGCACAGACTCAGAGCACTATTGTGAGGCCATCCTCAAAGGAACTCCAGCAGAAGTCCAAGCTGCTCTGAAAAAGTTCCCTCCGATGACGGCGTGGAAACTCTCCAGCGTCGGCCTGGACAGTCGGCAGCAGGACGCTTTTGTGCATACGTCTGTTCGTGTCGTGGTCGACCTCAAGCGCACAACCTGCACTCCAGTGCTCAAAAGCTCTCCGGAGGAGACCTCCTTGGCATCGGCGCCGGCTCCAGCGACTACAGTGGCAGACATGATGAACATCAAATCGCAGCGTTGCTTCGATGTCATGGCTGTGGTTCATTCTGTTTCAGAAACCCGCACTCCCGCTGGCCACCCTCCAGTGGCAAGTGTACATCTGGTCGACGGCACACAGACGAGTAACTCCAAGACAGCGGAGGCTGTGATTGCAGTCTGGGGATCCACCAACATAGAGCTTTGTCGCTCTCACAAAGGACAACCGCTGCTGTTTCTCAACGTGGCGGGCAAATTCGACGGCAAACTGGAGCTGAACTTGTCGCAAGATCGCGCAGTGGATTCCGCGTGCTCTTGTCCCAGAATGACTCAACTACACGACTTAGCAACCACTCAAGACTTCGCAGTGGACCGGGAGCAGCTGACCACCGCTCATGCGGGTACGTGTGCCTTTCTGGCTATGGCGTCGGATGATCCGAATGCAAACTTGCCACTCTTGTTGCAGGTCAATGGGATGAGGCTTGAGGAACCGGAGCCAGCCGACTCTGTGGTGGAGAACACAGGCGAGCGCGTCTTCTTTACGACTACTGCTCGTGATTTCAGTGGCTCGTGCAAAGTTGGCGTATCCCAAGCGGCAGCCTTCGCCTTGACTGGCATTGATAGCATGCAAGAATTCAAAAAAGTTCACGACGAGAAAGCTATCTCCTTCCCTCCACTGAGCAATTGTCGCATCATACGACGCGTGCGCAATGTGGCTGCGAATGCACAGGATGACACACCTCAACGGACTTTCGTCAACACGACTGTGGTGGCCGTTTCACCGCTTCAGATATCGCACGCCCCGAATACGTCTTACAATGTCGTCTTGGAGATCCTGAAGCAGTGCCGCGAGAGCCAGGATGCAATGCTCGCGGCACAGCTCTCTGAGATACGGTCTTGTCCCTTCTACGGCATGCGCGTGCAGTACTCACCAGCGGGTGGCGGGGGTGACGCTTCTCAGCTTACCCGGAACTGCCACTTGGCAGTCGTTCTCGTTCGTACCACGCAGAAGTCTCGGTGCGTATCCACTGCGGCTGGCTTCGTCGTGTCCACACCAGGTGTCACGGACGCTTCTGACGGTGAGTCTTCCCACTCAGTGACGATTCACGGACACTGCTCAGTTGACAACTTGCTCTCGTTCAAAATGGATCCGCCCAACCGAGCGAAGCACAGAGTCTGCTTGTTGCTCATTACTGGCTGTTCAAAAGATGGCATGACGGTGCACAGCGTGACCCACATTGACGAC